AGCAACAGTAGCTATAACGTGGACCTAGACAATGGAAGAAGTACAAGTGGTCATGTGTTCTATTTCGGTGAATCACCAATTACTTGGTGTTCGCAGAAACTACAAACTGTTGCGTTATCATCTTGTGAAGCTGAGTTCATGGCTGCGACAGAAGCATCGAAGCAAGCCATATGGCTCCAAGAGTTGTTGAGTGAGATCACTGGTCGGAGTTATAAGAAGACGACAATTCGAGTAGATAATAAGTCGGCCATTGCATAAGAGCTTGGATGTTTAGTTTTGAGCTATTTTCTAAACATTAATAAGAAGAGTTATTTCTTATACGAAAGCTGTGTTTTGCATATACGACTTTATTAAACTGATGCTTTTTAATCTTTGATACATTCATTTTTTTTTTATTGTTGTTTTTTTCATAATTTTGGAAAACTTGCCACATGTGATCAACATTTAATTGCATAAGTGACTTGTGCTTTAGTATATAAAAGATAACTAGTTTTTACAAAACTTCATTCATCTAGAAGATAGTAGTTTTTTGACGTTTTGAGATTATTCAGTGTTAAAATTTTATCGTCCTAAAAGATGAAATTTTTTTTTTTTTTTGGAAACGGAGGGAGCATATAATGAGAATGAAATAGAAAATGTCAGTAAATAATGAAATAACAAGACCTTGATTAGACCGAAGGTTTCATAGTGACTTTGCCAAGTACCACGAATAGACAGACACTGGCTTCAATGCCGCACCCATTGGAAAATCTTCACAAACACTTATCATCCCCACATCGCAATGGCTATTGTAACATGATTTCCAACCTGCCTGTCCCATCAGTATACATGTATGTATCCTTATTATTAATTACGTTACAACGCAAAAATAAAAGAAAACTCTCTATATGATTCTCTATGTTGTAATCTTTTGCTTACATTTTTTTTTGTTTTATCTTAACCAATGTAACTCTAAACGATGCCCCGTTAAAGAGGAAGAAGGATTGGAAAATAGATTAAGGAAAATAGAAAATAGTTCAATGAAAAAAACAAAAAAAAAAAACTTTAATATCAAAAACTTGATTTCAATTCTTTTTTTTTTTAGTTGAAAACTGAAAAAGCGACTCATCTTAATAATTCCTTTTTTCCATCTAAATACAATAGTTCGACTAATCTGATTTTTTTCTTTTATTCTAAAGTTCCATAAAAGTTATATTCTTTTAAAAGAGAATTGACCAGCATGATGTGACTGATTCTTACCTTTGTATAGACGAAAAGCCTAGGATTGAGGTTGTCCTTGTAGTACAATGCTGGATTTACCTGAATTAGTGTGTTGTGTTTTTAGTTATTATATAAAGCCGAGGATTGAGGTTGTCCTTGTAGTACAATGCTGTACATGTTTTGTTAGGTATAAAGTAAAACCGACTTTCTGACATACAATGATACCGATTTGGATGAAATCATCTCCGACCTGAAAGTGAAGCCGAGCAGAACTAGATTGGTTAGGCTTAAATTGGATATACAAAGATCCATTGTAGCTCCATTGTAGCGCATTCCTATGTCCTTAGTTCGACCCGCGGCATACTAATTTCATTCAACATGACCAAAGATATTAATAATATATCAAACTTTACATCGATGATTAGGTTATTTTTAATTAAAAAAAGAAACAACTTATATGATGTTGGTCATGAACATCATTATTAGGATCATAAGTGGTAGTGTTCCAAGAACCACGAGGTTTACTATATTTATCGTCGTCTAACGAGTTTAAGCTCAAGAGATCGTCTTTGGTTAATCTTCGTATAGGAACTGTACCAATGGGACAACCCACACCATTCTCCCATAAGTAACCAAACCCGGTATTGTTTGTCTTACCTTTTCGGGATTCCATATCCGTCGCATCTAGGATATGACACAAAAAGAAACTATTATTGTTTTTTTCTTTAAATGTTTCCAAGAATCTTATATATCAGGAATGGATCAAAAAATTTACACCATGTAATCGTTTGTGTGATTTTTCATAGAAGGGTGATCAAATGCTGGTTGCTTGAAGAAATCCACACATACGTATCGTTCTCCATGGATAGTCTATCATTTGCAGCCACAAAATATAGAGCTTATTATATAATTCATTAATCATATATAGTTAATTACGACAAGATTATGAATGGACCTTGATGATCTTGACAGCAGGTTTGTTGATTGTCTTTAGTTTCCTCTGAATTTCTAGATCTTCAAACTTAGACAAGCTTTTGGCTTCGATAAAGCCTTTGTTATGACTTGTAATTATGTGACCAAAGATGTAACACATCAAAGTCAGCCACATCACTGGGTCTCTCACTTCCATTTTAACCAACAAGAGAGAGATGATTAGTTTCGATAGGAAGAAACATAAAAGACTTTATATAACATTCATAAGGTCGAGGAGGCTGAGAAAGAAAGAAAAGGTATGATTCTTACTAATTCAAAAGACCGTTGACCAAAACAAGATTTCTGGAGAGACATATAGTAATTAATTAACATAAACCGAGAAATTCAACAGATTCTTATTAAGTATGCACTTATATTTGGGTCAACAATTCCTGAGAGACTTATGTTTAATTGATTTATTACTCAGTTAGCATTTAATACAATTGATTCTGGAGAAAATAATCCCTATATTTGAGAATAAGAGAATTAATTATTGCCTAAGAAATCATTGACGTGTCCGAAGATTCTCAAGGACTTGTGGTTTATTTTAGAATTACTAGAACTTAAGTGTCACCAAAAACCTTGGAGGAAAATGTCCTAATTTAATTTTAATGAATCTTTATTAAAAAAAAAAAACCGTTAGAAAGCATTGTTCACTCACCTCGGACTAATGCCTAGTTGGATCCATGTCTTTCCCCAAAAGACACGACCATCCAACTAGGCGAGTGTATTGATGACCGTGGGTCACCGTCCGAACAATACGCAGGGGACGCATTGTTCACTCATCTCGGACTAATGCCTAGTTGGATCCATGCATTCCCCTGAAAAACACGACCATAAGAGACACGCATCCAAAACATTATGTATTATTGTTAAGATTAGAAGTAAGAAAGTAAAATAGATGAAAGTATTTTCAATTTCAAAGCATTTCAAGGATTATTGAAACAACGTAATGAAAATGTACAAATGAGTTATATGAAACCCTTCAAATAATTTTTATGCAAAAATACACTTTCAGTTTATGGATTGAAGAGGGATATTTAATATTTGATCATGGGTTTTCTTGTGTTCAAAATGAAGAACATATCGATAACAACATGTGTTTGCTCTCATCGAGGTGTTTTTGTGAAAACATTGTACCACAAAGGCCATATGAAGTTGGAACAAGTTGTAAAGAAGATCATATATACCCATACATGATACATCTTACGAGGAGGAAGATACTGGTTTTAAGACACCAAGGCCAATAGTGTCAATCATCAAAGGAGATAGTGAATATATCTAGTATCTACCAATGGAAGATCTTTGGTCAGGATTACGCCGAAGCTTTACAAAAGATGCCTTATAGGTTAGACGAAGCGTGACTTCTTTCTAATAATCAAAGTCTTCTTCAACATACGTTTTTAGATGACAAATTCATGCTAGCACAATAAAAGTGTTGTACATATATTGTTATATTATGCCTAGCTTTTACGGTATTACCTAATATTATTTTAACTTGTTTCAAAATCCCATGTGTAAAAGCATTGACCAAGATAAGAACATGACGGTGAAATAATAACTTAACAAGATATTCAGATAATATGAAATTGATACAAATTAGACCCCAAAATGGCTCAAACTTAAAAACAAATACCAAAAGAAATTCTTAAAACAACATATAAAATTATCGAATTCTTTAAATAAAAAGACTGTAAAGGGGTTTCTCTTTCTAATACGAAAGGATGGATTCAAACCAAATTTCATTAGGCCATTATGATATCGAGCTCACTGTGACCTCCTGGAAGTTCCTTTAGGATGGCCACTGCACCCTCTATCTCCAATTTGTTACTTTGAGAAACCGACAATGGTTTAATTATCATAGTCTCCATTACAATCCATCTAAAACGCGAGGCTAATATAAACTCTTCTTTTGAACCGCTAAAGTTAAACAGCCATACATTATCTGCACTGAAGTAAACATCTGAAAATGGTTTTGTCTCTTCCCAAAACTTCTTCTGTCCTCTTCCAGCAGAAGTCTCAACTTCCTCCCGCGGAGTATTGCTTTTCTATATATGCAAAAGAAAAAAGAAAAAAGTCAAAGCACGAAATGAACGCTATGAAAACCAGAAACATGGCTAATTCTATATATTCACATAATTTTTATTCAAAGCATGAAATGAACGTACCTCGAATACGATCTCAAGCTCTTCCATTTCTCCAGGCCATGCAGCTAGATTTCTTGTAGTATCTCAACTTCTTTGGTATTTGCCAAGTTTACACTTACCGACATCGATGCAAATGTTCTCTTAAATGTATGTCCAATGCTCTTTCTCTCCTTAGATTCATAAACAATTTGTTAAAGATGTCAAATTAAAAAAAACCTACCTTGCATTCATTATTCTCGCATTCAGCATATATAAGGTACGTCGCTCTCCCTTCTCTCTAGTTTTGTTTCTCTCTCTAGATTCTCCACTCGTAGATCTCGTTAATTCTCTCTAATTTTTTGCCGTGCTCTTTAAATTTCCCGGTGAATCTTCAAATTTTTCCGATCAATCTTCAAACTTTTCTGGTCCACATTCAAACTTTCCTATCAATCTTCAACCTGTTCCTCATTTTCTTCAACTCTCTTTCAAATCTTCTTCCAACCTCAATCTACCGAACTAAAATGTCTTCCGACTCTTCATTTAATTCCTCTTCCCATCAAATCCGGAGGATCTTCATTTAATTCCTCTTCAGAGCCGAGCTCCTCTTCATCGAGCCCTTCTAGGTCGACGAACAATCCTCCAACTCTAGTTCGCAAAAACTCTAAGTTGGTGGGTGCCAGCAGCAGCCGACCTCAACTGAGAATGGAGGCACCTGAACAATTAACAGCTGAGACTCGGGTCGCGTTAGACGCCGGTAACGGTGATAACGAAATCGAGGAGGTCGTTGAGCTCGAGAGGAGGACTCCTGAAGAAGGAAACAACGCTGAGGCCAATGATGCCGAAGACAACCCCGAAGCGGTGAACGCTGCCTCGCCACCAATGCCGAAACGGAAAGTTGTCTGGCCTTGCGATGTGCCTGCTTCTTCTCTGTCTCCAACGGTGATTCGCTCCACACTCGAGGCCTGCAGACTCACAGATGACGCTGTCTTTATCACTCCCGACGCCGGAGATCGCCCATGGGACGTCCCCGAAGACTTCCTCTGCATTTACTTGACCTACTTCATGCAATGCGCGCTTACCTTCCTGATTCCTTTCCGCCTTCTTGGATACTGTAATCGTCGAGGCGTAGCTCTCACTCAGATGATTTCAACGTCAGTGACAAACTACACAGACTTCCGGTCCTTGTGCGCCGAGCTCAATGAAAATCCAACTAACCGACTCTTTGAGGACCATTTCTCGGTTAACCTGCACGCGTCGAAGGATTGGTATTTCGCAGCTAACACCAAACCTCAGAAAGATATCGTCACCGGGATCAAACCCAGTAAATACAATGACTGGGAGTCCCAATATTTCTTCCTTGAAATCAATGAGCTTACAGTCAGCGATGTTGACATCCAAACTCAATCGGAGTGAAGCTTCCGATCGGTAGCTTTAGACGATCTCATTTTTTTTTTTACCACCACTCGCTTATTTTTCTAACTCTTTTTGGCTTATCTTCGCAGGTCGTCATCTTCCAAGTTGTCTACTCAATTTCGGACTCACTCCTGAATTCCAGGCAGCTTTTAGTGAAGCCGGTAAGCGTCGCTGGCCCGAAGCTTGGGATGAGATACTCCAACGTCAAGCTAAGAAATTAGGTAAAAATACTTAGTTACTTTTCCTCTTCTACTTAAATTTCTCCGAACTCCTTATATTCTTTTTGCCTTTCAGCCTCAGTTAAGGAGCCAAAGCCTCTGAAACCAGAAAGCCGAGCTAAAAAGCCTCGACGTCCTCCTAGACGGAAAGCGCCAAAACTAAAAAAGAAGCGTTCGACAATGCTTTCGTTGGATGAAATCCCGACTCTCTTAGATGATGACGAGCCGAACGATGCAATGCTAAATCTTGTTCCCACTACTAAAGGGGACAAACAGAGAGTTGAGGAAATGGCTCTGATCGCGAACTCACCTGATCCGGCGGGTCAAAAGAGATTAAAGAAGAAGACATCCTCAAAGAAGATCAAGAGGATCGAGGGCTCTTCTCATCCTCAGGAAACGGCCGCCAAACTCAACCCTCCAGTCCCTACTGCATCAGAGCTCGCTATTCCTTGGGATCAGGCTGAAGCCTCAAACATGAGAAAGGGGCCAAGGTCCGCTTTGACTATGAAGATGAGGGTCCTTTGGAAGATAGTATCGATGCTTGTGATGATCTCTACCACAAGATCTCGAGCGAGGTCCCGAGTCTTCCAAAGATCTCCAAGCTGCGGTTCCCGAACCTGTACAAGGGAATTGCACACACAACTGCCGTGGTAACTTTCTAATTTCCCCCTTTTTCATTTATTTCCTAAGTATCAGTTCTGATTTTGTTTCTACTTGCAGCTCGCTAGTCAAACCAATACTCTGATCGCAGGATATGAAGTTGCCCTGTACGATGAGCAGGTGAGGGTTGCAGAGCTGGAGGATCGGATCTCCAAAGTCGACGAACGTCTTGCTACCGAACTCCAGATAAACAACGAACTCCATAATGCTGTCGATCTGCTGAAGCGGGAATGCTCAGACCTTAAAGCCGTCAAGGCTGAACTGACGAAGGCTTAGGCCCTCTTATCTCGGGAGTTCAAACAAGACAAGGAACGGTTGCAGGGTATGGTAGCTGTCTGGAGGGATCGGGAAAAGAAGGTTCACGCTAAAGCTTGTGAGCGTTTGAAAAAAGTCATCAGAAGTTTGGATGACGCCGATCGTGCTCATAAGCCTTACTTGGTGGTTATTCAGCTCACCGGAGTTCTCGGCTTCATCAAAAAGCTGAAGAACAAAGGTCTGTACGAGGTCCCTCTCGAGATGGTGTCCAAGCTAGAGGCGAAGCACGCAGCGTCACTGAAAGAGCATTATTCCGCCAATGCGTATGTCCTTACTGAAGATGACAAACGGATGTCGCCACTTCCTGAGGCTGATGAGGAAGCTCCCGCCGACAATTCAATCGGAGGAGGACAAGAGCAGGCGGGAATTGAGCAATTCGGCTCGAACGAAGACAAGATCAATGCGGTTCAAACCGCTGCTTCCAAGACTGTTTAGTCTCTCTGTCTCTCTTTCTTCTTTTAATCAAACTCAGTTGCCCTTGATGGGTCTTTATGTTTTGTACGCTATTTTAACCCTTGGAGGGTTTTCTTTTATCTTTTGAACTTGTCTGTCCTCGGTGGGTTTTGTTATCTATTTGCTAGATTTCAATATTTTCGTAAGGTTTTTGTCTTCATATAATTTGTTCTTTAACGAATGAAGTAGTAGATCGGTTCTTTAAAGAATTAAGTTCAAACTCAATTTTATTTTTAGGTAGCAAGTTGCGTTAACTCGACTTATATTTGCAAGTGTTGAGAACTTGGCTTATAATGTGAATCTGAGGAGTTTGGCTTTGGGTGCGAGTGTTGGAGCTCGGCGTGGGGAACCCAAATGAGTTGTATTGTACTGGAAGAGTGATTTGGTCGAACTCTTGTAAGCGCACGATACAAGCTCAAGGTTTTTCTAAGTCGAACCTAAGTGTGCGAGATGAGCTCGGCTTATTGTCCTCGGTGACTTAGAATTTTTAGTTCGGGACTGGCCCCGGCTTTCATAATGTGGAGTTTACCACGATACCGTGTGGGTGTTAGCGAGACGGATCTCAGCTTTTTTAGTTCGCATTCTTGTGGAATGCTATCGAATAACTGGCCAGGAAGTCGATGTAGATAAAGTAGGACTAAAATATAGACGTTTTCACTTAATAAATTTTTATTGATGTCATATCTGGACTCGGTGGCGAGCTACCTACGTACCCTTCGAAAAGGGATCAAGCCATTCGTAGTTCTAAGTACAACAGGTGTCCTCTCCAAACTAAGTAGTTTGGAGGTTTTTTTTTTTTAAAGACCAGAATGAACGATCTAATAATAGTATCGTTTGAGATGCATTGAATTCCAGGATCTCGGGATCGGGGTTCCGTCTAGCTTCATCAGCTGGTAAACACCAGGCTTAACGACTTTCATGACTTGGTAAGGTCCTTCCCAGTTCGCACCAAGTTTTCCTGCATTCTTCTCTTTGCGAAGTACTAGATCTTCATCTTCGAAGTGACGACCTTTAACATTTTTATTGTAGTAACGAGCTGCCAGTTGTTGGTAATTCTGTATCCTGAGTAACGCTCGTTTGCGGTGTTCTTCGACTAAGTCTATCGTGTCGAGCATCATGTCCTTGTTAACGTCGGGCTGCTGAGTGAGCGTAGTTTGGCGGATACTAGGAACGTTGAGTTTGGTGGGACACATAATATCCGTTCCATACGCGAAAAAAAGTGATTGACCGGTAGAACGTCGCGGCGTAGTTCGGTGAGACCATAAAACACCATTGAGTTCCTCCGCCCATGTTCCCTTGGTCGTATCAAGCCGCTTTTTCAGGCCATCGATAATGGTTTTGTTCGTTGCTTCGGCCTGGCCGTTTCCTTGCGGGTACCTCGGAGTGGAAAAACTTAGGCGTATTTTCCACTTGGTGCAAAATTCGGTGAAGATTATGGAAGTGAACTGAGTGCCGTTATCCGTGACGATCTCATATGGGATGTCGTGTCGGCAAATGATGAACTTCTAGACAAACTTCTTGACGTCGATACCGTGGATCTTGGGATACGCTTTGGCTTCGACCCGTTTGGTGAAATAATCGGTAACGACAAGTACGTATTGTTTCTGGCTTGTAGATCGGCGAAAGGGGCCGATAATATCCACTGCCCAGCGCATGAAGGGATATGGTGCGGTGGAAGTCATCAGGAGTTCGGTACGGAAGTTGATCATCAGGCCGTGGCGTTGGCATTTTTTGCAGCGTACGATATACTTTTCGCAATCGGAGAGCATAGTTGGCCAGTAATAATCGGCCTTTTTGATCTTAAATGCCAAGGAACGAGCGCCGGAGTGATTTCCTCCTCCTTCGTGCATTTTCTGCATAACTTCCATGATATCATTGCCGTGAACACAAATTAAAAGTGTGCCAGATGCATCCCATTGGAGGAGAGTGCCTTTGATGACCACGTATCGAGCTGCTCGAGCCTTAAGTCGCCGAACTGCCCATTTGTCCGCAGGAACCGTTCCATCGCCAATGTATCCGACGATTTCCAAAGTCCAGTCTACGGGCTCATCGTCTCCTTCAGCTTCGATGTCGATTGGAACGTATAGTCCTTCAAATTTTTCGTCTGGATTGGATTCGTTGTCACTATGTTCATTCATATCAACATTGAGATCGGTGAATGCTTCTGTAGTCTTCTTCTTTCTGGTGAGTGGTGGTGCGAGGTTTGGATGAGCCTCGTAGTCACGGCGTCGCGTGATGATGTTGCACACGGGGCAGGTTCGATACTAGGTCGATCCATTGCCTCATTTGGAATTGTTCGCCGAAGGTCAGGATCGGAGTTAGATGCTAGAGCAGCCAGAGCATCGGCGGAGGCCTTCTCGGCGGTGCGGTTTTCACCTCCAACATCAATTTTCAGAAGACATCTTCTTTTGTGGCAAGTGATATTTATTACAAGCACTTCGAGAGAAGGGCAAGACACGATGACTGCATTAAAGACTCCAACCTCGGCCAAAATGCTAGTGAGTTATAGATTCTTTAGATTTCAGCAGTTGTCAAAAGCATGTGGAGTTTCTATGTTATACCGACCAAAAGTAAGTGATTTTAGGCATGGATGGGAAAATAATTCTGGAGGCAAGTCGAGTGTGATGGGTTCGGTGTGTGGTCTATAAGGGTACAGAAAGTTTACAAGTGTGAAACGCTGGATGTGTTTCACATGAATCAATATGATCGAATCCAAGCCTCAACCATCCCCGTCTTCACATTGGTGTGGCAAATAAAAGTTTTTGCATTTTTTCCAAATGCCGATGGTGACCGCTTATAACCTACAAGGCCAAAGAATGATTTAGGGTATTAAAGTATGGAATAGATGATTATACAAAGGGGGATATTTTATTTATATGGAACACTCACAAATTACAAAGACACTCGAGGTTTTCTCTCAGACTCGATTACAGGACTTAGCTTGGTTTATGCAAGCACCCAAGCCTCTTATTTATAATGATACAAGGGATACCTAACTTAAGATTATTACACATGTGGATACCTAACTTAGAGCTATTTAGCATGTGGATACCTAACTTCCTCATGCATAAATATTTTATTCTTTTCTTATTTAATATGATGCTTTTCTTATGTGCATCATTATTTATTATTTATGTTTTCCTAGATTTCTTATTCCATACGATAACAAAACTCATTTTGTTAGTATGGAAATTCCAAATCTAGTATACATCTCTCAGAACCGGGATCAGCCTTTGAGAAGTCATCATTTCCAACGGGAATCAAACTCATTGATCATAATATATTGACTATAAAAAATTGAACAACCAAGTTTTTTCACGCGAAATACCGTTAGCATTTATCTTTCACAAACGTAACACAACCACAGCATGATTAATATTTCAAATAAAAAGGAACCTCTTTTTCCAAAAATCTTGTACTTTGATAGCAAACAATAGAATTGTAGTCATGGGTTATCCAGGTTTTGATTTTGCTCTTGAACAACCAGGTCACCTAATTTATATGGTTCATGGGTTATCTTAGGGTTGTGCACTATTAGAACAACCTAGATTATCAGTTTATATATCTATTATATAAAGACTCAGTTGAGCCTCACAAGCTTGACACATAAGCTTCTCTTCTTAAGACACATCAGCTTAAAAAATCAAATTAAAATCAGCCACTTGTCATCTCTAATTTATGTATTATAATCGATTTCTAAATTCTTCGTCTTCCTTTTCCCTTAAAAAAAACGTTTCATCGCTAACAATCCTCGGTAAAAGCATATATTTTCTCGGTAAGATGCGCACTAGCAATTTTGTTGTTTGATATTTTCTCTCTTAGCTTCCTGATATAATTTAAAAGTTATCTAATGTTCTTTATGGTTGACATTATCTTACTTACGACTTATAGTCAATTAGTTATTATAGATATATTTTAGAAGTTTATGCTATGATATTAGCCGCTTGCTCATAATATTGTGAAAATGGAATTTGGTCAATGCACATGGTACATCACCAGAATGCACATATCACCTTAAGGTACTTCCTTATCATCTACCCATATTTTTTTGTTGATATATCTATAGATTTATAACGCAATTCTTTCAGTTAACTGAAAAAGTGAATAACAATATAGAGATGCTTCATATTATCCAAGTTGCATCTAGATACTACCTTCCATTGGTCACAAGATTTTGTGTGGTTATCGTGACATGAATATATATTTTAAATAAAATAGACAATTCTGAAAAACAAAAAAAAAACACTTCTGAGATAGCAAGTCAATATAATCACATAATATTGTAAACAGAGCTTGCTTGTATTTTGACAAATTGGAAATTATTTAAATTAGCTCACATGTTATCTATACATACCAATTTATTCAGGCCTAAGAGTTTTGATTTCATAAAAACTTGGTTGAGATTGTATCTCTTTTGAAAAAACTTTATTATCATCATAGTATAGGCTCCTGAGTAGTAGAAGGATAAAGTCTTGATCATTATCTGTTTACTCGAGAAGATAAAGGTT